GAGCAATAAGTGCATCCGTTAAGTTCCAGTTCATTAACGCTCACTTGCCTAGTACTGAGTGCATAAATATTATAATATATAATTTTTTTTTGCAACTGTTAGATAGAGCGAATTATTAAACTATATTGATTAAAAGGAAGTTTTAAAATAAATAGATACGATATTTTTACCATTTGTCCAATAAACAAAATTTATGTACCGTAAATCCCTCCACGACCGAGGACCCGCCGGCGTGTCAGTTAACAATAGATTTCTTAGAAATTTATTTAATTTCTTAAAAATTTACCTGGAGGTAATACTTTCTTAGATTTTATTTAATAACTAGCGGACCCGACAGACGTTGTCCTGTCTACACGTCTTTAAGTTGAAAATTTCAAACTTTTTTTAATAAGCTAAAACATTCTGGACCATTTTGATGAAAATTATTATTCAAATTGTAAATCTAAACTATTCCCAGATCCCCTTGAACACACACAAAAAATTTCATCAAAATCGGTCCAGTCGTTTGAGAGAAGTTCAGTGACATACACACTCACACAAGAATTATATATATTTAATAATTACCTGGAGGTGTTAAGTATCAGCAGTCGAAACTTTTATATATTTTTTTATTGTAAAATTAAAAGTATGTTATTATACTTATTATTAAAGCTTTATATATTTATACTAATTATTATTAAAGCTCTCCAACTGATGTTTTATATAAAACAGCAAATGAAATTTAGAAACTTTTAAAACTCGTAATCAAAGATAAGTACTGCAACAATTTCGTAATCATAGATTATGCTATTCAATGTTTGTTCTACAATTGTCATTCAAAGTAATAATAATTGCGATGGTCAGTACTTTAAAGTTTAATTGAATGTTTTAATTTTTCATCACGTTCCAATGCAATCGTTATTGATGCAGGTCATTATATTATATATCTTTTCGATTGATCGTTATATGTGTTATATGTACATATAAGAATCATATTATTTATTAACTCCTTTCATAATCACGATCTGCGCAACGATGTATAAAATAAAAGGAGGCAAAAATGATAAAAACTCAATATACTTAATTAAATAAATAAATATGTCGGGACATTAACACACAGCACCATCTAGTTCCATGGTAAGCTACGAGATATGTTATGGACACTAGATAGTTGATACACTACACATATACACATATATAACTTGAAATACATATTATAAATATAACACCCATGACTGGAGTACAAACACTCGTGCTCATCACACAAATGAATGCCCCCACAGCGGGACTCGAACCCTCGACCACTGGCACAGCAATTTTATAATACATACGTATGTAACAGCGATAACAGCAGACAAGTTTTGAACAATTTTAAAATGAGTATGTATAATATTTATGTAGAGCTAGAAAAATCTCGTTTTTGAAGTATTTGTGTCATTTTAAATTACATTTTCATATCGTCTAATATATTTAATTTTCAGTCGTACTTATAAATTGTTACATAAGCAAATTGCTGCACAATTTTCCGCTTTGCGTGTCTATATAATAACTAACATTGGTCAGTCCGTCCAAGCTAAGTTCAAGTTCAAGATCAACTAACTGCGCTCGCATCTCTAATCACTTGTGGATGTTTCAGACGTGTAAAAACAAATTTTCATAATAGTTTCTAATTATTATTATACTTTTTTTTTCTATTAATAAAATTTCATTTTTATATAATTTTTAAATAACATAATATGTACATAAGTAATTATTTTGTTACGGGCAGGTTGTGTCTTTAAACTTAGTATGACTATCTGCAAGTCTGAAAGGACATTGAATTTAAAAAGATTGATGATTAAACTAACAAAATTCAAATTCTTCGATGGCAAATCCGCAAGCCAGGTCGCTAGCCGGTTTTTCGAACCTTTTCCTAAAAAAAAGACAGGCACTCACTCGCACAATGTGATTACCTCTCTGCTGGATTCTCTAGCCGATGAAGAAATAGCCAGGGCGGTAGGTACGTTGTGCAAGTGGAGCGATATTCTTCTCAACGACTTTAAGCAATACTTTTAACAAAACGACGACAGGCCATATCGCAAAAATGACAATTCAGGCTCATAGGCCAACAGATTACCACAAAACATTGACAGATAAAGCACCTATCAATTGTTAAGAAAAAGGCGAGAGTTTTAAGTATAGTAGTAGTTAAAGGTGTTTAGTATTGTTATGATTTATTTTTGTTATATAAAATAAAAATATATTACAAGTACATTAAAATGACTCGCATCACAAAGATCGCATCAAAGATATAATTTTTGCAACTTGATAGAAATTCTTAATATTTGTTTACCTGACTCCTTTGTACTTCTCCTCATATATTATTTTATTTGGTCATATATTATTTTACTTCACTCATATGTTAGTTTATTGTTCCAAGCACCTTTGAATAATTTTATATTTAAATTAAAACAATTTACTTATAACATGTAAAGCTTTGTATATATTATCGATTTTTTACCTCTGTTTTTAATATCCACAAACGCTATCGTAACCAATTGTTATTCATGGTATCAACTATCAACTAACTAAGGCACTTTGTTTTTCTCTATATTATGGCATTACAGTCAAATGTTTAAACTAAATGCTATTAGTATTAACCTTTTTATGCTCCAGAAAAAATAAGTTATTTTGCTAAAGCTAGGTTTTACATATTTCGTGTAACATATATACTCGTTGCCTATTTTTAGATTAGATAAATAGATAGAGAGATTAGATATGAACCATATTTTATAACTGCAGTAAAAAAATAATCAAAAATACTTTAAATATCTCGTGTTGTTTACTTACTAAAATGTGTTTTAATATAAATAAAATAAATTAAACTTAGCTATAGGTAAATGTCGTAGCGTGAAAACGTTCTTTCAAGATCAATGTTTTTATTTATCGCAACATGTCCGCGATCGCGTGTCATTTGTCACCGGAAATGAAAATGGCCGTGTTTTATTTTTATTATTGCTGTACAGCTTTTGTTTGTTTAACAGTTTATTTTTTTACATGAGGATGTTTTAATTTTCAGTGTCAATTTCTTTACCCAACTGCCGCAGAAGGAGGGTAATGGGTTTCGAGTGGTTGTATTTGTATGTATATACCTTTAGCATGATGTATACGCCTTAATGTTCTGATAGTTTTGAATATATGGTGATTTTATGTGGGAGTAACTCTAATTTATTATGATGACGTCTGCAAATCAAAAAATGTTAATAAGGTTTTTTTCATTGTAACGTATGAATTTTTGTTAATTAATTAATAATTTGTAGAGAAAGGAAGCCGTTATATGATACGTAGGTTTTTTATCTTCGCATAGTATAAAATGAAGTCGCTTCCGCTGTCTGTTCGCTTAGATCTTTTAAATTACTCAACGGATTTTAATGCAGTTTCCAGCAATAGATATAGTGATTTAAGAGGAAGGTTTATATGTATAATACATGCATTTTATAGTACAGAAAAGCCAAGAAATTCAAAGATTTGTATTTCATACTAATCGTTAAAACGTACCTAGGGACGAAACCCGATGAGTCGCTAGTACTATATAATCAAGTCAAAGGTCGGGTTAATTTACTGTAGAGGAGATACTGGCAAGTTATTTTCGACCCGCAAATAACGTTGCCTTGGTAACCACTAGCTATATAGCCAACACTGACGGAAGTGAAAATGAAGTCGCTACGTACATACGTCCGGTTCGAATGCTGAGTACTTCTAGATAAGGTTTAATGCGATAATAATCAAAATAAAAATCGGGTGGGGCTGTGTCGGGGCGCATCGCCGTTAGTTTAATGTGAAACGTCTATTAACTATTTCAGCGAGTCCATTTTAGTGTTTAAAGTAAATATTTTGCATATTTGAAAACAAATTAGTAATGATAGTAATCTTTTAACATAGCAACGAAAACAACATCATATATCATTTTTCAGACAATAACAACGGTTACCATGGCAAATTATCACATTACGGGCCACTTTCTGATCTATATTTCGGTGTGATTTAAAAGATGTCTTCACGTCATAAAAAAATTTCAATTTAAAGGACAAAGTATCGGTTTACACTTAATCTATGAAACGATATTACCCTATTTGATTTTACCCATATTAAATGAGTACAATATATTGAAATGATGCAATGCATCAGCACGAAACGTGAGATAGAAGCCCGATATAACGAGCGCTTTAATTTGATCTTTTATTTGTTAAGGCGATAATAAATGCTAATAGCATATTATTGTATCAGTTAAATTTGCTTATAGTGTTATGTAATTATTTGGAAAATATCTGTAAGACTATAATTTTTTTTAAATATTCTACAGTTAACGTCAATTTTTATAGAAATTCAATAGAACAGTTTTTTATATATCGTAAACATATCTAATGTTATAAGTATACATATATATACAGTATGTAGTGTCATTTAAGAATGATATTGTATTACATGTTCATAAGGAAAACTCATAAATATATTAGGGTATGAAATTATTACATACTATATTTATTTTTTGCAATAACTTTGTAATTTTTTATATTTTAATTACTTTATTGTTATATTTATTAAAAGTTTTTTTAATGTAACCGATTAACTCGAATAAAAAAATAACAAATTTTCCAGATTTTTGACATTCTAATGTTAGGGGTGTAAAATTGTTTGTTTATTTTTCGCTTTACTTTTTTTTTAAGTTAACTAACTTAATTTATAGGTAATATCATCCTATATCACACTTAATAGATCATGCAGTCGTAGATACAACTATGGTACGTGATCAACTACGGTCTTTAATGTGGAGATATAATATATTTTTCCCATGAGAATATTATTGTATTATTGTTTTATAAATGTAAATAATACATTATATTTCCACATCATTTTAGATAGCAATACAATTTTCATAGAACTTCGAAAATATTTTAAACACTGAAAAAGGCAGTACACTTGTAATGAAATAAACGTATCGATAATATTATAAAGTTTTCTAAGAATTTAGTTCTAATTACCATGTATAGGTCTCCATAGCGGCACACCTTCCAAAAGCCCTTGATACTTGCTAGCATGGTGCGCGCGCGTCTCTCCCCGTTCCGCGCCGCCGCTACCCTCCTGCAAACAATATATTGTTTATCAAAATAATCATAACTATACGTTTTTTATATAAGGATATATAACAGATATAAGATATAAAAGATAAGAATCTGCGAGACAAATTGATTTTTACAAACAATTCTAGTTGCGATAACAAAAAATTCAAAAATATTCACGTTCACGTTCTGAGAGCTTCATATGTTATATTATGTCATAGGAATACAATAACATGTTAGTTAAATCCTCTTAACCTAAATCTAAAAAGACGGAAAAATAATAAAACATGAGACACTTAATTTACTTAATTTTACATTAAATAAATATTCCTATTAGTATTAAGTTCCAATTTATTGTTAAATATTAAATGTTTATAATAATATATATAAAAATAAGGACCTGTGTCCGAATAAATAAAAAAAATATCTATAGTAAATACGTTAAGCTGTGTTTGTTTCTTCTTGTATTCTACGGTTAGCGAATAACACTAATACGTCCAAAACGTAAGCAATGTTAGTACCTATGTGCGTCAAACAGCCAAAAATTTGAATGCTTTTAAAGATCAATTGACCGCTGTTATTTCGATGATAATAACTATAATCGCCCATTCCCGGATCAAATCAAAGATCGTTCGAAGACGTCACAGTGTATGAACGAATTAGATAGAACAACTTTTTAATACGCACTTTTCTTTCATTGCTTATTATTTCTTCATTGAGCACGAACTAAATGTATCTTTATTTTGATCACTAACCGCTGCTATCACACGAACGACTGACAAAGCCAACAATAACAAACAAACTTAGTCTATAGTCGTCATAAGAGTTTTGCGATGTATCATTTAACACATCGTTATCAGTTGTAAGATACCTATCTCATTCAGATTTTGCTTTCGTTAAAGAGATTGAAATGATATAGCAATGTCGAGAACAGTTTTATTATTAAAGTACAATTTCAAAACACTAAATATTTTTTAAGCTTGAAATTAAATACTGTATGTAAAAATAATTCGTGTTCCTAACAACATTACAGCTTTAATGGGTTACATGTTCGAATCTTCTCTGAGGAAGTAAGCATATATTTCTACAAGTAACTTATCGCTAATCTCTTATAAAAGGTTTACACTACATTTGAATTCGCACTGAACGATAATGAACCTTGAAGGAATTAACACGACGATTTCATACGCTTTGTTGTGATCGTAATTAATAATTGATACTGTAAGAGATAAATAGCAGTTCTAGGCGGAAGTGAAGCATTTGCTCAACTTTTTAATAGATCGTTGTTCGGAAGTCAAGAATTATGATTATTGAGAGTACTTACTTGATAAGCGTAACTTGTATGCAATATCTAGTATTAAATAATAATTTAAATATACACCTATATTTAATATCAAAGAAACGATTGGATTATATTAGTTACATTCACTTCCTCGACAAACTGTATTAATATATTTCCGAGTTGCTAAGAGGAAATTTGCAGTTAATCGTGTCAAGTGTCATATGGTATATACGGAATTAGGTTAAATGTTGTGTATGTTTGTTTTTATATAATACTAGCAGAACCCGCGGCTTTGCACGCGCTAAAACTACAAAAAAAACTCTAAAATACTAAGTTTCATAAAAAAAATTACCACTATGTTTTGAATTTAGAAAAATGTTAAAACATATATTTATTTAATTGTATTGAAGAGCATTAATACCAAGTTTCAAGTAATTCTGATCATAAATATTTTTTGGCTTGTATTATAACGTGTTTTCACGTGGGAATGAGATTATCTCCCGCGGTAATAAGTAACCTATGTCACTCTGCGGCCCTCCACACAAAAAATCACGCCAATCCATCAATCTATTTCGACGTGAAAGAAGAACAAACAAATAAACAAACAACTTTCACCTTTATAATATTAGTAAGTATATATGTACATAACGCATAGTAGTATTGATTACACAGGTCTGCGAAATATTATTTTTTTTAAGTTTTTTTCTGAAACGGTTAATATTTGTTATAATTGTGCTTTTACTAATTTGACGTGGTGTGTATCATATAAAAACAGTTTTTATATGATACACACCACGTCAAATTTAATACAGATGTTGTGTTTCAACTTTTAACACAATTATGTGCAAAACAAAAAATAAATTATATAATAATTGTAATTATTCTTCAAAGTTTTATTGAGCGTATAATTTTTAAATTAAAGCAAAAATTTATACAGAAGCAAAAAAATAATATTATGATCGATAAAATTTTCACTTCATCTCTATGCCATCTAACAGTCTAAACTTACAAATAGTCTACCACCATGGTGACGACCCAACGACCTTGATACCTTTTTTCTATATTATCTTTTGTCTCGATGGAGTAAACGATTCATACCTGACAGGTTCAGGCCCCCAATTTTTTTTTTGGGAAACAATCAAATCTTCTTTGGAAAACGAATTTTCACAGTCCTCACGAGTCATCCTAAGTTTTTATTAGACGTTGATCAAGAAATGATATTCATATGATTTTTAAGTTACTGCAAATTAACCATTTGGTTTCGATGTATTTTTTTTTAAGACAAACTGAATGAGTTGCAGGTATTGATGATTTATTGTCGATATGTGAGAGAACAGGTCTCATGCTTCTTTTTGAAGAGCCACCATTCATAAGCATTTAATTTGATTTTTTGTTTAAAACCACCATAGCACAGCGAGCTACTAAATTATCCTCTATTTGGAAATACTCTACAGATTCTTGTTTTCTGCTTTAATACCAATACAACGTTTGTCATGTTACTATAAGTAAAGAGTGGTGGTGATAGTGTGCGATTTTGATCGCCGTAAAATAATAATATTAATATCAATGCGACTATAGAAAATCAATGCGACCATTCTAATTTATTGTGAAAAAGTATAAGAATTTAATTAATAATAATTGTTAAATACTTTTAATTTAAATAACTAAGCAACTAAAAGCTAAGCGGTACGTGTTAGTATGCGCTCGTAGCATGTGACCCGATATCATTATCACCGAGCCCTGAGGTCACATCGGCAATAATAGAAATGTTTACGTTTCCACTGCCAACGGCGAGACCTTCGCGACGCATCCTCAAGCTTTATAAGATCTTTTAGAATTATACGCTTAAAACTTTATAGCCCACATTTATTTTGGGTGATTTTTGAGTTCCGATAGTACTGGATATTTAATTGAGTCGATAAATAATTATATTTTTTCGCAACGTATGCAGCATGACTGACGATTACAAACATGAACACGTCTGACCACGTCGCTCCCCTGACCATGATTGCTGTAAAGCATTCGAAACGTCGGGAACCAAAAATCTAAATATATCCGCGAAACAATCCGAAAAGACAGTTTTATTTAAAATGTCAAATTTTCGCGTTAATCCAAGTATTATGGTTAGAAACAATTTGCCTTAAAAGATAATTTATTCATTGAAGAAAGAATGATGAAAATCTATCTGCAAGTAGCGCTGATATATGTATAGTAAAGGCATACCCAGAAAAAAAATACTAATGAATCTAAAAAAAATAAAAATGATCTTCTCCTTTTTGAGTAGATCAAAAGAGAGCCACAAATTTTCCCAAGACTTAAGTCAGATATTAGCCATTATAAAAACTCCTTTTCCTTGTTTTTTTTTTTTAATTTTAAATTATTCGTTTTTTTTTTAATGAAAAGCTCTTATTAAAATACGTATTCAAGTATTATATTTTAAATACATTTAAATTATTTACATAAAAATTGCCTTGCTATATTTAGAACTGTTTTGACTAATTTTATTTTTTAACGACCGCTCTTATCTTGATATGATAATAATTACCAGCGACTCATATCTAAAATTTCAATTAATGCAGTTGATCTTCTTTTTTTTTGCCTAATGTCAAATTCCTTTGATAATGTACTTCATCTCGACGTTAAGGCGCCGATGTATTGAGAAACATCGATCAATACATCGATATCTACATATAATAATATTATGTTATCATATAAAAGACGATAACTATAAGTACTCTGTTGAATATAATAATAATATTGAAATATTGAGTAAATTCTATAATTTAAAATAAGGTTATTTTCTCGTGTGTTTTCATAACTAATGCTTCTAATGCAGTATAATTTAGGTTGTCATTTTTTTATTAAGATTTTTTTTTATTTTTTTCTGCAATTATAGTGATTTATATTACTACTAGATATTGATACGTTTTTTCCTCATCATTTTACTTATTATCAAGTAAATGTTTATTACAATGCCATTATATAGATAAACTATGTAAACATGTTTTTTTATATTTTTGTGTTTTTTTCACTATAGACTATAGATTTTGATGATTAAAAATTAAGTAATTTGACATAGATTGTTAAATTTCTAAAATAAATACAAAAATCTCATACTCATTACTGTATTAAATATAGATAAATACAAATAATATTCAATACAAATAATTATAGGCTCTTATCTCAATCTCAAATAAAATTTTCTTTTCCAAAAAATTACATTTGTTACTTATCTCCATGGGGAAAATGCTTTTCCTTAGTAGAGTATTTAGCAACATTTTTTATTTCTAAATGCAAATTTTAATTTGTACGCTACAAATTAAGTGTTTTATCTTATCTTTCGTTTAAAATAAAATTATTAATTGAACTTTATAATGTCGATCGCCTTATTGAAAAGGTTTACTACTACATTTAACGTACGCTATCTACGTTTATATAATTGCCAACAAGTTACTCATAACTTATGAATAAATAATTTATGCACTTCCGTAGATATTATATATAGTGTAAAAATCTAAGAATGGTTTTATTTGCACATTTTAATACAAAATGTAATAGATTATGTTTATTACGGCTGTCAGACGGTGAGTTATATGATATCGTATAAGTATATATCGAGCGTGCGTAATGCATCAGCGTCAAGAGATTGTGATTTGTGCACGTAGATTTATTTTGATTTTAATATTTAAAAAAAAAAACAATAAAATTGCCCCGACTTAATCGATTATTGTTATTGATTTTCTTAAATGTTCATAGAAATCTGTAATTGCAAGTTCTACTTGGTTATTATGTATAATGTAGTCATTATGTATTAAACGTTACCTCTGATTGAGAAAATGCCACTGAGATTGTCAACTATTAAACTATAAATACATATTCTATGTTATCTCTGTCTGCATTATATATTCATTGGATATTATATTACGTATTCGTATTCAGTACGATATCAGAGGTGCGCGACCCGAGATTTGAACCCGCTTCACTTTATTATTTATAATGCCTGAATAAAAGCTAAAACTTTACGGTTTTGTTTTAACAACTATACAGTTTTCACGTTGCGTTTTTTGAACTTCGTCTTTATTCGCTCTTTACCGACTCCAAAAAGGAAGTTATCTTTTCGGGCAACATATTTTATATTGTAAAAAATGAAATTTCACTAATTTAACACTCACTAACTTATTATGCTAGGTATAATAATTTTAATTAGATAATATGTTATACTTCTTTATAAATAAACTTTGCTTTTGTAAAAATAATGGATAAGGGATGCTGAAAAAAAATCCCGGGAAAGTCTATTTCGAGGTAACCCTAAATATTTTTCCTAATAAATAGCAATTTTGATATATAATCTACATATATATAAAAAGAAATACACTTGACAATCTGTCCAACCGTCATCTAAAAATATTACGCTTCAAAGTCTCCGCACTTATATATAATTAATCTCGGTTGATATTTGTTTATAAGTAGTATAATTGTGTCTATTGTATTCAATTCTTTCCCATAATAGATTTCAGCTGCTGATGATTTAAAAACAATGTTTATATAATAAATACAACGGGTGGGTATTTTGGGGTCGTAATAAATCTTTGTTTGAAATAATGAGTTAAGGAAATTATATATATATATATATATATATATATATATATATATATATATATATATATATATTCATTATGATTTTAGGTAAATTATAAGATCCGTTATGAGAGCTTTAGCAATTCTGTACAACTGTGTTTATCGTATATTACGCATATGCATTATATTATCTAATATGAAAATTGTGTGATTTTTCATAATAACATTTTAAATAAAGAAATTATGAGAATAAACGCATAATGGAAAATAAAGACAAATCTTTTTATTATTATATTATTATTATAAATAGTAAAATTGCAATTATAGAGTAAAAATGTAGAATTAATTTTATCAACATTATTTACGGACAAAATGAAATTAATAAACATATTTAGTAAATCAATTACTTACTTAGATTTTTCACTAAAACTTTCCAATTTAATAGTTTTTAGTATATTCACAGAAAAATAAAATTTACAAAATATTCGACCACTCGTTCACAATGTTTACGCGGGAAAATTCGCAACACACAATATTTAAATTTAGAACACACGTGCGGATCCCACTCGTGTTTAAAATGTTATTTGGCACAGATAATAGTTTTTCTTTTTTTTATTATTAATATAATATGACTTAGGCTATGTCACTTCACAGTTAAGACCTGACAGTCGACTGTAGAAAGAACAGACATACAACCTGTATGATTGTTCTTGACCTTGCGCGGCTCTCTGGCGCACTGATGCCGCTTTTCGTTCACACTGCCTGTTTTATAACTCGCTACTGTCGTTCGAACTTTTACTGAGCGCTCTGATAATGACTAAGAGACATCTTTTCTAGCTAAACTATTTTTTTTATATATTTAGGGATGTCTTACAAGCGCATTTAAAAAAGTATTTATTTAATAATTTTAATGGAATGAAAATGGTTATTTTTGAATGCATTCAAATTTCCTTTTTATGGGTAACACTAACACTTCATTATTTTATATTAACTATGTACGTACATTTAATTATATTACAAGTAAATTTATAAATCTTAAATATAATTAATCCACTTACGAGTATGTTAGATCGCTCATCGCGCTATCAGTAGATCAAGAGGTATTAAAAAACTCATAACTGTCTTCATAATTTAAAAGTAGAGATTTAAACATATAAGGAAAATAAGTGTTTTAATAACGAAGAATCGACTGAAAAAGTATAAGTTTTATCAGAATGTCTGTCTGTTTATTCTTATCTCTTATACATTTTTTCGCACTCGCAAGAAGGAAAATGTAGCTGATAGCTGAAATGGAAAATGCACCATATATGTACATAGTTACATACATATTATGCAATAGACAACCCATTATTTATTATATACTCGTACGTAATGGATGACCAAGTTTGTACGAGTATGATAAATAATAATTAAGTGTCTTAATTATATTTATTTAATTCACCTAAATGTAATAATTTGTGGGCAAAAACGAACGCTACATAATTGAAACTTGATGACATCAAACACAAATAAATAAACGGAAGCGTGAGTTTAAACATAGAGTTCAAAAAAAATTCTGTTTTATTAAGAACGCAACAAAATATATGTATATTTACATAGCCAGATAATAAAACAAAATATTTAAATATATTTTTTTTATACGTAGGACTAGAAACCAAACACGTGTGCTTACAACATTATATTAATACACGTAATATTTAGCGCTGAGATAATTCTTATAGTCGCCGATAATGGAACAGAGGTAACTGACATGTTATGTGACACAGTCTTAAGTTCTAGAAAATTCTTATGGTATACAAATATCTAGTAATTGCGTAATATATAGTAAGTATATACCTGTATTCAGCCCTTTTTAACGTCCCACAGCTGGGCACGGGCCTCCCTTCAGTACGAGGGGGATCAGGCCATAGTCCACCACGCTGGCCAAATGCGGGTTGGCAGACTATATACCTATTTAGGTTTAATATACATTTGCCTTCTTTTGATAAGGTGATTGTAAACAGGTTTAAAAGCTAATGGAGGCACTATGATACGATGATCATTAGTTAGACTCTTTATCAAATATATGGTTACGGTTAGTATGGAATCGATAGTCGATCCGTTACTCTGTAAAAAACAAAAACAAATCTATCCCACGAGAACCGTACATTTTTCCGGGATAAAAAGTAATCTATGTGCCATTCCAAACTAGAATCTATCTGTGTGCCAAATTTCATCCAGATCCGTTTAGCC